GCGGAAGGATCGCCGGAGCCCAGCAGGTCGAGGCTACGGTGGCCAGGAGTGGCCACTGCACTCCAGTCCGGGCAACAGAGTGAGATTCCAACTCAAAAAAAACCCAAAAAAGCAAGTGTATCATACCAACATAAGATGGTAACAGTAGGCGAAACTGAGTGCTGAGTATATGAGAATTTTCTATACTACCTTCTCAGTTTTTTTGGGGGAAAAAAAGCTGCCCTAAAAGATTACGTTTATTAAAAGTAAAAAAGAAAAAGGCTCCTCTGGGCTCCTGTGGGAAGAATAGGTTGTCAGGAAGCAAAGGGCAGAAAGAGGGAGACCTAGTCAGAAGCTATTAGAACAGGCCAGGCGCAGTGGTTCACGCCTACAGTTCCAGTGCTTTGGGAGGCTGAGGCAGGATCGCTTGAGGCCAGGAATTCGAGACCAGCCTGGGAAACATAGCGAGACCCTGTCTTTACAAAAAATAAAAATTTTAAAGCAAAGAAATATCTTAAGAAGAAGTTATTACAACAATCTGGACAAGAGCTGGTGCTGACTTGGACCAGGTGAGGGCAAAGCAGATGTGAAAAGTGTCAGTCTGGAGAGACTTCCAAGGACTTGTTGCTGGCTTGGTTATGGGCTGAGAGGGTGATGTGCAGAGTGGGGCCTGAGCAACTGGAATGTGAAGTTGTCTCTTAGTGAGAGGGGAGCAGGGTGGAGAGAGGCTGTGGACCAGGAGTCCAGCTTCAGACACATTAAGTTTGAGATGCCACCTACACACCCACGTGGAGATGTCGAGAAGGGAGATGATGTAACTAGAGTTCAAAGACAAGCCCAACAGGCGACAATCCAGATGAGGCCACCAAGGGAATGAGGTTGAGCGGAGGAGAAGGGAGCACAGGACCTGGGCCTCACGCACCAGGCACAGAGTGTCAGGGACAGAACCAGAACCTGCAAGGGAGGCTGAGAAGTGGCTTGGGGAGGCAAGTGTGTGGGGTCCTGGGAAGCTGAGTTTCACCTCGGCTGGGTACATGCGAGCCCTGCCTCAGGTCCCCTGCTGCTTCAGTGCCCCTGGATGTCTAGAGCTCCAGGAAGACTATTTCTGGGTGGTCTCTTCTGGTCCGCTCATCTACAGAGAGCATTCTGCTCGTTTTACTCACTGGCTTTATAACCTTGAACAAGTCATTTCTCCTCTCTAGGCCTCAGTTTCTCCATCTGTAAAATGTGGGAGCAGACTGGATTGATGGATTGATGGTTTTCAAAATTGTGTCTTAGCCCAGGCAGCATAGCAAGACCCAGTCTCTACAAAAAAAAAAAAAAAAAAATTTTTTTTTTTTAAAATCAGAGTCTCACTCTGCTGTCCAGGCTGGAGGGCAGTGGCATGCTCACAGCCACTGTAGCCTCGACCTGTTGGGCTCAGAGGATCCTTCTGCCTCAGCCTTCCAAGTAGCTGGAACCACAGACACGCACCACCATGCCCAGCTAATTTTTTTATTTTTTGTAGAGACAAGGTCTCATCAAGTCACCCAGGCTGGTCTCAAACCCCTGGACTCAGGTAATCCTCTCACCTCAGTCTCCCAAAGTGCTGGGATTACAGACACAAGCCAACGCACTCAGGCTAAAAATTTTTTAAAAATTACCCAGGCGTGGTAGCACTCGCCTGCAGTCCCAGCTACTTAGGAGGCTGAGGCAGGAAGATCGCCTGAGCCAAGGAGACCAAGGTTGCAGCGAGCTGTGATAGTGCCTCTGCACTCCAGCCTGGGTGACAGAGTGAGACCTTGACTCAAAAAAAAGAGACATCAGTGAACAGGGCCTGAGGTCCCCCACATCCAGTTCAGCAAAGGGTCTCTCTTTTTGAAGTCTTGGGCCTCTGCCAGATCCCCTTTAAGTAAAGTTTCTACCCCGAAACCCACCATTTGGAAATAGCTGGATGAGATCAGCTCTAGCAGGGCTCCTGCTCTAACTCCTTGAGGCACAGGCTTGCGGTCTAAACTGAGTCACACTTTCACCTTCCTCTCTCCTGCTGTGCCCCTGCCTCCCACCTCCCCACTGAAGCCTGCCCCAGGGAAGTTGTGGGGCCAGGCTTCCCGCTGGCTGTCCAGTAGGACCCAGGCTGCGCCCGTCACTCACCTCTGCAGTTGGCTGGTGGCCAGGGGCCCTGGTCACTGCCATCGCCACAGTTGTCCATACCCCAGCGATCACACACCAGGCTCGTGGGGACGCACCGGCCATTCCGACAGCGGAAGTAGGCACCACAAGGTCCTGGGGCCGAAAAGGGGAGCTTGAGATGAGGATCCTGAACCAGGCCTGTGATTACAACAGGGGGCGTGGCCCTAGAGTGACAGAATGTGGGAGGTGTGGGCGGGAGACAGTTGCTGTCAGTGCACACAGATGAGTGCGTGGGTGCACGTTTCCTGGGGAGAAGGTGTTTCATTGTGAGGAGGAGGAGGAGGAGGAGGATGGCGGCCAACCTTGACTAAGCTCCTATTCTGTTTCTGGCACAGCTCTAGACACCTCACACTCGGCCCATTTCGTCCCCACGTTAACACTGTGGGGTAAATGCTGTTATTAACCGCATTTAGAGATGAGAAAACAGCACTGGGAGGCTGGGTCTCTTGCCCAAGGCCACAGAGCGTGTGCCTAAGTCCCAGGCAGGCTGGTGTGGAGCCTGTGCTCATAAGAGCTGCAGCACCAGCCTGTAATCCCAGCCCTTTGGGAGGCCGAGGCGAGTGGATTGCCTGAGCCTGCGGGTTCGAGACCCACGCGGGCAACTTGGCAAGATCTCATCTCTACAATAAATCAAAAAAATTAGCCGGGCGTGGTAGCATGCACTTATGGTTCCAGCTACTTGGAAGGCTGAGGCAGAAGGATCACCGGAGCCCAGCAGGTCGAGGATGCGGTGGCCGGGAGCGGCCACTGCACTCCAGTCTGGGTGACAGAGTGAGACTCCAACTCAAACAAAAAACAAAAACAAACAAAAAATAACTGCAGCACTAGGCAGGTGTGAGTGTGTCTGCACGTGTGTGCACATGTGCCCTGTGGAATCCCAGGGAACCCGAACACTCCAGGCAGACCTGCTCATGGCTTTGCCCCTATTATCAGCTCCACCTGGAATTCTCTCCCTCGGTCACTGCACGGGCATGCTCCCTTCAGGTCTCCACTCAGATGGCACCTCGTCCCAGCCCTTCCCTATGAGGCGCCCACACCTCCCTTCCTGGTGCCCTGTCCCAGTTACCCTGACGTGGTAAGCACTTACCCCTCTCCTCACTTACCACCATCTTCACTTACCACCGTCCGCCCAAAACAGATTTGCCTGACTGTTTACGGTCCGGCTCCCCCACAGAATATTGGCTCACTCCAAGAATGCAGGGACTTCTCTTTTGTTCACAGCTGTACCCTAGAGCCTAGACCAGCACTGGGCACACAGCAGGTGCTCAATTAATATTCAGACCACGCACGTTCAGACCACGCACGTTCCAGGGAAGAAGAACCGTGGGACTTGACTAAAAAAGACAATGGGCGCTGGGCTCGGTGGCTCAGTCTGTAATCCCAGCACTCTGGGAGGCCAAGGTGAGTGGATTGCCTGCGCCCATGGGTTCGAGACCCACCCGGGCAACTTGGTAAGACCTCATCTGTACAATAAATCAAAAAATCAGCCGGGCGTGGTAGCGCATGCCTGTAATTCCTGCTAATCGAAAGGCTGAGGCGGAAGAATCGCCGGAGCCCAGCAGGCAAGGCTGTGGTGGCCGGGAGCGGCCACTGCACTCCAGTCTGGAGACTCCAACTCAAAAAAATAAAAAATAAAAAATAAAATAAAAAGACAATGGGCCAGCATTTGGTGCTTGACCAGCTCAGTGCTAAGGGCTGTCCAGGGCCTGGCATGTCAAGGTCCATTTCCGGTAAACCTGTGTTGGCCCTCAGAAACCCCTGCGTTCCTGCCTTGAAGTGCTCACGATCCCTCGTTGAGTCCTCCAGTCTGATATTGTGCCCAGAGATCCCAATAAAGCTTCTCCGTGGCTTTTCCATCTTCTGGCTTTGGACAGCGCCTCCACTTGCCATCCCTGGAGACGGCATCAGCAAGTGGCCCCCATCCTTGGGGAGCCTTCTGGAGCTGGAGCCTGAGCTGAGGGACACTCTCGGGCCTCAGGGCCCCGTAGTGGTACCTAGGCCCGTGACCTCCCCAGCCTGTCTCATCTCTAAACGCAAGGCCAGGGTGACTGGCCCAGCAGAGCTTGTGAGGCACTGCTGGGACCTGGAGTGCAAAGGGCCAAAGGCTGCTGGGTTGGCCAGCGCCTGCGACTTCAGCTCCAAGAGGCCCCGTCCCTTGCTCACGTGGGTTTCTGATACACCCCCGAGAGTCCAGCCATGCCCCCCTGCGGACGTCGGAAAGGTGGAGCCAGGACGAGAGTGTGAGCTGTGTAAATGCACGAGGGGCTACTGCGTGTGTGAGGTGTGTGATATGGGCTGTGAGTGTGTGGTGTGCCACAGTGAGTGCACCGGCCTGTGGACCGTGGGGGTGACGTGTGTGGATGTCGGTGTGAGTTGTGTGGTGTGTGGGAGTTGTAAGTGTGTGTGCGTGCGCGCACACACTGGGCTGGAGGGCAACCGGGCGCACACGTCCACGGGCGCCATCTTCCTGGGGAGGCGCTTTGAGCCTGGAGCGCCCCTGTCGTGGCCCCGCCACCAGGCGCCACCTCCTGCCCTCCCCGGGGACCCAGCCCCCTCCATCTTCGGTGCGCGCGATGCCCCCACCGTGGTCCGGCCGGCAGCAGCCCGGGCTGGGCCGCC